CATTGTCTAGATTGAATTTGTGTATTTCTTCTGTGGTCTTTATTTTTGTATTTCACTATCCATTCTGAATTGTAACACTGGAAAGTGAAAATTATAACAGGGAGTAAAAGTATGAAATTTGGGAATAAATGGCTAATTCTGAAAGCATAGCTATAAACTGTGGCTGCCATTCTGTTGATTAATTTCAGTTAGAGTAAACCTATTGAATCAATTTTGGAATGCTGAGGCAACATGTAAGTAAATCTAAAGAGATTATCACATTTTACTTTTCACCTGATCTGGGCATGGGCTGGGAACAGGTTCAAATGGATAAGAACAGGTGTTATTGCACGCAAAAACGTCACTGATGCTGCCGGCCAACTACCACCCATCTCTGAGCCGCGCTAAGCCCACTGACTTTGCAAGGACAAGTTCCTGTCCTTGAAAATCAGTGGGCTAAGTGTGGCTTGGAGATGGGTGGTAGTTGACCAGTGGCATCAGTGGTATTTTTGTGTGTGATAACACCCATTTTCACCCATTCAAACCCATTCCCAGCCCATGCCCGGATTGGGCAAAAAAATGAAGTGCAATAATCTCCTAATTGATTCAGTACAGTTCTGCTCTAGACAAGTCTAACAAAATAGGATTTAGGCCTGTACATTTAAACTAGTTTAACAATTGTTCCCCCCCGCCCGAAAATCTAGAATTCTAGTGCTGTGATTTTTTTTTTTAAATCTCAAACAGAATTCCCAGGGAATAATACCCCTCCAGACCTTTGGGGAAAGTCAGGCTAGATACTATGTTATAAACATAACAGGATTTATTTTTTATTTTTAAAGTTTGAGAATCCCTGATTCAAAGGGAAGCGAGTGTCTGGTGCTGTTTTGACATCCAGATACATGATTTAATGGATGGGCAATATGAAATATTAGTCATTTTTCCTAATCTGCACAGTATTTATCCTGCATCATTATTATCAAGTAACACGTTTGAGGGTTGCCTTTTAACAATACATGTAAGAAGGGAAATGGCTGAAGCATTTTAGTGAACCATTCAGTTAATACTAGGGCACCAATTGCAACAAAATACAAAGGGTTGTTTTCTTGTTTTGCTTGTGTGCTTTCAAAATCTATTTTCCTTTGGTAACTCTCCTAGGGGACTGTCCCCCCCAAAAAAAAAACCTTCCCCCCTGCATCATTTAGCAAGTTGCTGATGTAACCTCTCTAAGGAATCATCAGTATTTTGACAGCCTAGTGGTGTATAGCAAAAATATAATCTGCATAATTTAAGTTCATGTGCCTTAGAGATCTGGACTGACAACATCAAGTGAGGATTGTGATTTCATTGGTGCATTGTCGCTGCAGCCATTGAATTAACTCATTTGACAAAGTCATGAGGCTGGAAGTGGGGAGATGGTTGAAATTTAAAGGAGACAACTACACAGTTGTAGGAACCAGCACTTCTTTAGGCAGAAAACTGCTTGGATGTATCAATGTATCTACACACACACATGGAGGCATGAATACACACAACTCACCAACCACTCACACCTCTAAGTATTTAAAGATCCCAGATGACTGGCACTCATCTTCCCAGGCATTCAAGCACCTGGCATTTTTATAACTCTGGGTTGAGACCTGGTTTGATTTTAGTAGAGACTTGGCAAGAGGCCCTGATTCTGCAAGATCTGAGCAGGACAGTTGAGGATAGGGTGACTTGGCTGTCTCTCATTCATAGGGTTGCCATAAGTTGAAGTTGACTTGAAGGCAGCTAACAAGAATGACAAGAGGTAGGCTATCCTATGCCTTTATTCCCTTTAATTGCAGCACACATTTCTTTGAGTTATGCCACTTTCATGTCAGAGAAACCTAGCCAATGTCTTGTCTTGCATCTGCCAAACAATACCCTTGTCTGCTTTATACTCCATATACACTTTCTTTTAAATGCTACTCTTCCTCTTCAAGAGGTCATGAAATACCTCCTGCTTTAATAGCTTGGTATCATTGCTGTCCCGGATACGGAGGTGATTCCACTATCATTTCAACAACATTTCTCCTACTTTCCCTGCCTCTTGTCTCACCCCTGCATATATTTAGCCATTTGTCCAAAGTGAGTATTTACTGGGCAGCCCCTGGTCTTCATTCCTCCCCGCCTACCCCCACACTCCACATAAAACCTCTTCTTGCTGAGTGCCTTATTTTACTTATCTATTTATTTATTTGGTGGGGGGTGCATGGGGTAGTGGTGAGAGCAGAGGAGGAGGGACACCTTTCTCTCTCTTTCCAGATATTCGCTTATTCTAGCACTTTACTATAATGGTGAGTAAATGAAGGCAGGATGTTGGAGAAAGCCTGGTTAAAGCTGCCATTTAAATCCTCTTGTGTAAGTTTGATATTTAAAGTGGAAGGACAAATGCCATATAAGTCAATTAAAGCATTAGGTAATCTAATTGTACTGTGGCCACAAAGTGGCTTAAAGGCTGAATGGCAACTCTCCCCTGCCGCTGCCTCCCCCTCTTCATAGCATTCCCCCGGAGGCCTCTGTGAATGGGCAGAGGAGGAGGGACACTGGAGAGGAGGGTGTGGGCAGAGTGAATACACACATAGACACAGAAACACACCCAACAATAGAAGGCAAAGGGAACTGCGCTGGAAATGTAGGATTGCGGCACAAAGCCCAGTGCAGTTTGGATGTGGGGAGGCCTTGTGCTTGCATAATGCACTCAGTGTTCTTGGACAGATGCACACACATACACAAACAGTGCTCTGTGCTCCTCTCTCTCTCTCCCTTTCAATCTGGAGCCCCCAGGTTTTGGAATTTGCTGAAGCCCCTCAGCAAGGCTCCTGAAATGTCTTTGCTCATTAGATCAGAAGGATGAGAAAGCCACAGGCAGGGCTAGAAAACTGCCCAGCACAATTAAAGTTACTTAAGTTGGAGACTGGTGATGTGCTGTTAGCATTCCACCAGCGCTGCCCTTGATTGCTTCATTGTGTGCATTCCTCTGCCTGCCTGCCTGCCTGCCTGCCTGCTATAGAGCAGCTGAGCCAAGGAGGAGGGGGCCATGGGGCTCTGGGAGGGAGGGAATAGAGGAGAGGGGCCTGCGAGTTTAGAATCGGCATGGCTGGCCTTGTAATACTCTCTCTCTGTGTATCTGCATATGGCAACCCCATGAATTCCATAGGGCTTTCTTAGGCAAAGGATACTCAGAGGTGGTTTTGCCAGTCCTATCCTCTGAAACAGGGGTAGGCAAGCTTTCCCCTTTAAGGGCCGAGGGACTTCAGCTCCTAGAAGCCTCAGCCATGTTGGCCAATAGTCCCATGTTGGCCAATAGCTCCTGGGATTCTGGGAGCTGAAGTCCCTCGGCCCTTAAAGGGGAAAGGTTGCCTACCCCTGCTCTGAAACATATCCACAGCATCTGGTATTTGTTGGCTGTCTGCCATCCAAGTACTAATGAGGGCAGACCCTGTTTTACTTCCAAGATGAGATGGGGATTGATGCCTTCATATTAATTGTTGTTGTTGTTGTTGTTGTTG